TTCACTAAAGTTCTTTTTGCTATTTTTTTTTGTCAGTCTTGGAGGGCTTGAACTCTGGGCCTGGGCGCTGTCCCTCAGCTCTTCAGCTCAAGGCGAGCGCTCTACCACTTGAGCCACAGCGCCACTTCTGGTTTTCTGGTGCTTAATTGGAGATAAGAGTCTCACAGACTTTCCTTGCTGGCTTTGAACCGGGATCCTCAGATCTCAGCCTCCTGAGTAGCTAGGATGACAGGTGTGAGCCACCGGCGCCCGGCTTCTTTGTGCTGTTTTCAGTGGATCTCAAAACGATTCACCCTCTGTCCTTCTTGTTCTCTCTCTCCTCCCCGGTTCTCCTGGGTAGGCTCATGTTCTATCCTTGTCCATTTATATGTAATAACGTATGCAGATGTGCATAGTATGTATTTGTTTATGTCTGTGAGGATGGATGCCTTTTAGGCCTAGCTTCCAAAGGTGAGCAGAATCATGATACCTTGTTTCTCTGATCTTGGCTCGTCCCTCTCGGTATCGCTCCCCCCCCCCCCCCCCCCGCCCCATTTTCCTGCAAAGGGTCTAACGTTCCGCAGTGTGTACAGAGCACGTTTTCGTTGTCTGAATGGACTCTTGTGATGGTACTGTGCCCATGCTGGCTTCACGGGTGGACAGTGAGCGTCAGAGCAGAGGGCAGATCAGCATGGGTGGCATAGCTAGCTGGAAGCAGAGCTGCAATCGGCACCCAGGCTTCTGATTCCTCTGTGTGTGTGTGGGGGGATGGTCTTTCCCCCACTGAAGGACCCAGGAAGGAGAGGGTGGGGGCAGGAAGGAGGCGGTGACCCACGGTGCTGAGCCCCTCTGAGGGAGGGTTCAGTCTGGCTGGAGCTTTGAGGCAGGGCTGCCCCTAGCTCCTCCCGCTCAGCGGCTGGGGGCTGCTCGCTGGGGATTGTGGGTGGGGCTGGATCTCACGAGGGCCTGGACTTCCGGCAGTGCCACGGGCATATGCTACTACAGCACTGTTGGGACAGTTAGGGTCATAGCTGCCCTTGGCCTTCTGCCGCTTAGATCGGTTCATGAGATCGTGACAGAATAGGTCTGCAGCAAGGCGGGCAAGGAGCTGGGAGTGGGGGCCAGTTTCTCTCAGGCGGCTGTGGAGTTTGGGGGCTCAGGGACTGGGACGGGGTAGGGAGGACCGCAGGCCCTGCATCCTTGCATGGTATCCTGCTCCGCCCCTGCGATCCCCACCTCCCAGACTGGCCCGGCCCGGCCGCTGGACCACCGTGAAGGCAGGCAGTCCCTGGCCTAGAGGCTCACAATGTGCCAGGCCTGGGCACAGGTCCCTACGCTTGTACCCACGGGAGGGTGGCCTTTCTGCAGCAGGGCAGTCTGTTCGTCTGTTCTGTGGCTGGGAAAAGGGAAAGCCGGGGAGGTTACACGAGCCACAGCCAGGCAGGGTGTGGCCCATACTCACCAGGCGCTCTTCACACCGGGAAGCCGCTGCCCGCTGCCCGCTGCCCAGGGCCTCGTGCCACGGCCCGTACCCACCGCGCCTCTCCCCAACTTCTGGCCAGCCCCATTCACGCCAGGCAGGGCATGGCGGGAGTTGCAGGGGTGCAGGACAGACCCTCCACTGCCCACCATCCCCACCCGTCAGATCCATGCACGGGTGTCAGCTGGCGCCAAGTCCCGGAGTCTAGGCCGGGCTGAGGTGAGTGGATGGCCATCCTCTGGCAGTGTGGGGAGGCTTCCTGGAGGAGGCTCACCTGTGGGAGCATGGGTTGGGGGCAGAGGTCTGGACAGCCTGGGTGAGGCCCCATGTAGCCTCGGACAGGTCAGCTGACACCGAAACCACAGGATGGGGCTAGAGCAGCCCCGGCTGGCACAGAGCCTGGGGAAGAGCAGATGGGTTGACCTGTGTGCCGAGGCCTCGTAGGTCATACGGTGCTTTCGGAATGTCAGGTATGGTTTTATTCATAGAATGTTCTAGAACTAGGACACAGTCATGTACAGTTTATATGTAGTGTCAGGGCCATAGATACCCTGGAGGGAGCCTGGAGGAGCCCCTGGAGCAGCGGGTACACGTCATCTCTGCACGAAGAGCCGGGCACGAGGGCCTTGTGGAGGTGGGCACCGCCGGACTTGCTGCCGGCACTGTGCCTCGGTTTGAATGTTCCTTGAAACCTGAATGTGGTAATGCAGGTGAAGCCAGGGCACACACGGCCAGCGTGCGGTCAGGTGAGAAAATGTCCAGGACCCGAACTGACACCATACACACAGAAGCTGAGCAGGGAGCTGGTGGCTCCACGCCTATAATCCCAGTTCCTCAGGCTGGGAGCTGAGGCGAGCGGTTCAAAGCCAGCCAGAGCAGGAAGGTTGGTGAGACTCTTATCTCCAATGAAGCACCAGAAAAGCCTGAAATGGAGCGGTGGCTCAAGTGGTAGAATGCTAGCTAGCCTGGAGCAAAAAAAACCTCAGGGTCAGTGCCTAGGTCCTGAGTTCAAGCGCGCGCGCGTGCGCGCACACACACACACACACACACACACACACGCATGCACACATGCATGCACGCATGCATGCACATACACCACACACAAAAAATGGGAGCAGATATTGTTCAGCACTGTAGACAGTGTTCACAAGTGTTTTTCTTGTCCAATCCCGTGACAGCCTGCCCACATTTTACAAGCAGAGAAACTGAGGCTCAGGGCGTCTCCCAGCATCTCAGCTGCGCTCGGTCTGCAGGCTGCCGGCACGTAGGGTGGGCCTGGCCCCTTCCTTGGCCACTGCGCTCGTCCCAGCCGCTCAGTAGGGGACTGAGCTTGTAGCCTCCTGGGCTGGGCCGGGCCACAGTCCGGTGCTTTGGACTTGCACACAGTAGCTCTGGCCGGTGGCCGGTCTGGGGCAGGGGTGGCACTGTGTTTCCGCTTAGATACCACCGGCAGTGTGGAGGTTCCTCCATCCTCACCTTTCCCTGTCCCCCCCTTCTTCCCCCCTCCCCAAGACGCTTCAGCTGCCACACCCTGGCCTTCCCTAGATGCCCTGGGAGTCGAGTGAGTGCGCAGCAAGCTCTGCTCTGAGGATTGTTCTGCATTTGACTGGAGGCTGGCCGTGGGCACCGGGTACGATGACCCACTCTGGGGGCCCTTCCATTGCACGGCACCCCTCTGCGGCGCTGATCTGGCTCCTTCACCTTTTCTGACTGCCCCGGACCTCTGCACACGCTGCTCACCTGCTTGCCATTCCATTCCTCTTTTCTTCGGTTTCACTGCCGCTTCCCCCATTTTTCTTCTGCTCCATCTCTACACTCTTCCCAGAACCCCCTTCTCCTGGCAGCTCAGGGGGCCCAAGTGGGGTCCGCTGACCTTGGCAGGCCCGTGCTTGGTGCACAGCGACAGAGGCTCTGCGTAGCCCATTCGTCAGGGTGGCGTGGCGGGCTGAGGACAGAGCGCCCCAGTCTGTGTGCTGCCAAGCCTCAGTCTCCCCCCGAGCCCAGGAAACCCCAGCCCCTGGGATGGGGGCTGCGTTCCGGGGCAGCGGGACCGTACCGCTCAGAGCTGAGAATGAGGGGACCCAGGGCTGGGAGGGGGCAAGGCACGCTGGACAGCACGTAGCTGGATTGCAGGCATGAGCCACAGGCCCTGCCCTGCCATGTTAACCCAGAGGCCCTGAGGTGGAGGGCCGACTGTGCGGGAGTTCTGTGTAAATGAGTAAGATCGGGACTCTGAATTGGATGGCCATTGGTTGCTGTGATGTACCCATCCTTCCTTGGAACCTGCTCCCTTCCCCGCCCCTCCCCTGCTCTCCAGTCCCCTCCCCCTCCTCCTTTCCCTCCCCTCCCCTCCCCTGCCTCCCTTCTCAATCTGCGTCTGTTATTGGCTGCGGCCCAGGCCCAAAGTGGAGTCCCGTACTCAAGCCGGTTTTCCTCAAGTGTGCGGACACTCGGGACAGACAGGACACAGCTGCCGCGGGCCGGGGAGGAAGAGAGAGCCTGGGGTGGAGGGTGGAAGGGTGGAGGCCGGCGTGGGAGGCCGCAGGGTGAGCCTCACCTCCTATCTGTGTAGTAATGGCGGGTGTCCCACACTCAGCCAGCCTCAGGTTCTGTTCCAAGTTCTTCTGTGGTGTGACCCGGGTCATCTCACCCTGCCTGTGGGGCTTGCACCCCCCCTCCCCCCCCCCAGTGCAGCCCTCACACACTCCTCAGACTCTGCTACCTGATTCCGGTCTGCTGCCTGGCAGTACCCAGAGCTCTGCTCCGATCCAATGGCCAACCCAGCCCCTCTAGCCTCCCTCCCCTTCTCCCCAGAGCCCCTGCCTGTGCCATGAGCCGCTGCCTGGCGCCCACTCGCCCGTGTCGAGACCCGTGCCTGAACACAGCGCCGCGCCGCGCTGCTCAGTGCGTGGCCAAGTCAGGGATCACCCTCCACAGCCCTTGTCCTCGCTTTCAGGCCAGCTGCCTGCTGCGTCGGTGTCTATTCCCCAATCCTTGGCTAGTGACAAAGCTGGCTACGACACAGTGAGGACGGGCGGCCTAGAGCTGGGCCAGAAAGGAGCTGCAGATCCTCTGCCTGACACACGTTACAGAAAGGGGACACTCATGCAGGCTTTGAGGGGTGAATAGGACTTTTCTAGGTGGACAAGAGGAGACAATGGCATGTATAGGAGAATAATGAGCGGTGCCGGAGAGTCGTGAGTGGTGCTGAAGAATAGTGGGAGGTGCTAGAGAATCATGAGAGGTGCTAGAGAATCATGAGAGGCGCTGGAGAATCATGAGAGGCGCTGGAGAATCATGAGAGGTGCTGGAGAATCATGAGAGGCGCTGGAGAATCATGAGAGGTGCCAGAGAACAGTGAGAGGTGCCGGAGAATAGTGAGAGGTGCTGGAGAATCATGAGAGGCGCTGGAGAATCATGAGAGGTGCTGGAGAATCATGAGAGGCGCTGGAGAATCATGAGAGGTGCTGGAGAATCATGAGAGGTGCTGGAGAATCATGAGAGGTGCTAGAGAATAGTGAGCGGTGCTGGAGAATAGAGCTCAGTGCTGGAGAATAGAGCTCAGTGATGGAGAATAGTGATCAGTGCTAGAGAATTGCGAGAGGCGCTGCAGAATTGTGAGCAGTGCTGGAGGAGGATGGTAAGAGGTGCTGGAGGATGGTGAGAGGCGCTGGAGGATGGTGAAAGGCGCTGGAGGATGGTGAGAGACACTGGAGAATAGTGAGAGATGCTGGAGGATGGTGAGAGACGCTGGGGGATGGTGAGAGGTGCTGGAGGATGGTGAGAGACGCTGGGGGATGGTGAGAGATGCTGGAGGATGGTGAGAGGCGCTGGAGGATGGTGAGAGATGCTGGGGGATGGTGAGAGACGCTGGGGGATGGTGAGAGATGCTGGGGGATGGTGAGAGGCGCTGGGGGATGGTGAGAGACGCTGGGGGATGGTGAGAGATGCTGGGGGATGGTGAGAGACGCTGGAGGATGGTGAGAGGCGCTGGGGGGGATGGTGAGAGGCGCTGGGGGGATGGTGAGAGACGCTGGAGGATGGTGAGAGGCGCTGGAGGATGGTGAGAGACGCTAGGGGATGGTGAGAGATGCTGGGGGATGGTGAGAGACGCTGGAGGATGGTGAGAGACGCTGGAGGATGGTGAGAGACGCTGGGGGATGGTGAGAGATGCTGGGGGATGGTGAGAGACGCTGGAGGATGGTGAGAGGCGCTGGGGGGGATGGAGAGAGGCGCTGGGGGGATGGTGAGAGACGCTGGAGGATGGTGAGAGGCGCTGGAGGATGGTGAGAGACGCTGGGGGATGGTGAGAGATGCTGGGGGATGGTGAGAGACGCTGGAGGATGGTGAGAGACGCTGGAGGATGGTGAGAGACGCTGGGGGATGGTGAGAGATGCTGGGGGATGGTGAGAGACGCTGGAGGATGGTGAGAGATGCTGGAGGATGGTGAGAGACGCTGGAGGATGGTGAGAGGTGCTGGGGGATGGTGAGAGACGCTGGGGGATGGTGAGAGATGCTGGAGGATGGTGAGAGATGCTGGAGGATGGTGAGAGACGCTGGAGGATGGTGAGAGATGCTGGAGGATGGTGAGAGATGCTGGAGGATGGTGAGAGACGCTGGGGGATGGTGAGAGATGCTGGAGGATGGTGAGAGGTGCTGGGGGATGGTGAGAGACGCTGGAGGATGGTGAGAGACGCTGGAGGATGGTGAGAGACGCTGGAGCATGGTGAGAGATGCTGGGGGATGGTGAGAGACATTGGGGGATGGTGAGAGGCGCTGGAGGATGGTGAGAGACGCTGGGGGATGGTGAGAGGTGCTGGGGGATGGTGAGACGCTGGGGGATGGTGAGAGGCGCTGGGGGATGGTGAGAGATGCTGGGGGATGGTGAGAGGTGCTGGAGGATGGTGAGAGGCGCTGGGGGATGGTGAGAGACGCTGGAGGATGGTGAGAGACGCTGGGGGATGGTGAGAGACGCTGGGGGATGGTGAGAGACGCTGGGGGATGGTGAGAGATGCTGTGGGGATGGTGGAGAGGCGCTGGGGGATGGTGAGAGGCGCTGGAGCATGGTGAGAGACGCTGGAGGATGGTGAGAGATGCTGGAGGATGGTGAGAGACGCTGGAGGATGGTGAGAGACGCTGGGGGATGGTGAGAGGTGCTGGGGGATGGTGAGAGGCGCTGGGGGATGGTGAGAGATGCTGGAGGATGGTGAGAGGCGCTGGGGGATGGTGAGAGGCGCTGGGGGATGGTGAGAGGCGCTGGAGGATGGTGAGAGATGCTGGAGGATGGTGAGAGGCGCTGGAGGATGGTGAGAGGCGCTGGGGGATGGTGAGAGGCGCTGGGGGATGGTGAGAGATGCTGGGGGATGGTGAGAGATGCTGGGGGATGGTGGAGAGGCGCTGGGGGATGGTGAGAGGAGCTGGGGGATGGTGAGAGGCGCTGGAGCATGGTGAGAGACGCTGGGGGGATGGTGAGAGACGCTGGGGGGATGGTGGAGAGGCGGTGGGGGATGGTGAGAGACGCTGGAGGATGGTGAGAGGCGCTGGAGGATGGTGAGAGACGCTGGAGGATGGTGAGAGGCGCTGGAGGATGGTGAGAGGCGCTGGGGGGATGGTGAGAGATGCTGGAGGATGGTGAGAGATGCTGGAGGATGGTGAGAGGCGGTGGGGGATGGTGAGAGACGCTGGAGGATGGTGAGAGGCGCTGGAGGATGGTGAGAGACGCTGGAGGATGGTGAGAGGTGCTGGAGGATGGTGAGAGATGCTGGAGGATGGTGAGAGATGCTGGGGGATGGTGAGAGACGCTGGGGGATGGTGAGAGACGCTGGGGGATGGTGAGAGACGCTGGGGGATGGTGAGATGCACTGGGGGATGGTGAGAGGCGCTGGGGGATGGTGAGAGGCGCTGGGGGATGGTGAGAGGCGCTGGGGGATGGTGAGAGATGCTGGGGGATGGTGAGAGGCGCTGGGGGATGGTGAGAGACGCTGGAGCATGGTGAGAGGCGCTGGGGGATGGTGAGAGACGCTGGAGCATGGTGAGAGGCGCTGGGGGATGGTGAGAGATGCTGGGGGATGGTGAGAGATGCTGGGGGATGGTGAGAGACGCTGGAGCATGGTGAGAGGCGCTGGGGGATGGTGAGAGATGCTGGGGGATGGTGAGAGATGCTGGAGGATGGTGAGAGACGCTGGGGGATGGTGAGAGATGCTGGGGGATGGTGAGAGACGCTGGGGGATGGTGAGAGGCGCTGGGGGATGGTGAGAGATGCTGGAGGATGGTGAGAGGCGCTGGGGGATGGTGAGAGGCGCTGGGGGATGGTGAGAGGCGCTGGGGGATGGTGAGAGATGCTGGAGCATGGTGAGAGGCGCTGGAGCATGGTGAGAGACGCTGGGGGATGGTGAGAGGCGCTGGGGGGATGGTGAGAGATGCTGGGGGATGGTGAGAGGCGCTGGAGGATGGTGAGAGGCGCTGGGGGATGGTGAGAGACGCTGGGGGATGGTGAGAGGCGCTGGGGGATGGTGAGAGATGCTGGGGGATGGTGAGAGACGCTGGAGGATGGTGAGAGGCGCTGGGGGATGGTGAGAGGTGCTGGGGGATGGTGAGAGGCGCTGGGGGATGGTGAGAGATCCTCGGGGATGGTGGAGAGACGCTGGGGGATGGTGAGAGATGCTGGAGGATGGTGAGAGATGCTGGAGGATGGTGAGAGATGCTGGGGGATGGTGAGAGGCGCTGGGGGATGGTGAGAGATGCTGGAGGATGGTGAGAGACGCTGGAGGATGGTGAGAGATGCTGGGGGATGGTGAGAGGTGCTGGGGGATGGTGAGAGGCGCTGGGGGATGGTGATAGGCCATGGAGCATGGTGAGAGGCGCTGGGGGATGGTGAGAGACGCTGGAGGATGGTGAGAGATGCTGGAGGATGGTGAGAGGTGCTGGGGGATGGTGAGAGGCGCTGGAGGATGGTGAGAGGCGCTGGAGGATGGTGAGAGACGCTGGGGGATGGTGAGAGGCGCTGGGGGATGGTGAGAGGCGCTGGGGGATGGTGAGAGATGCTGGAGCATGGTGAGAGGCGCTGGAGGATGGTGAGAGGCGCTGGGGGATGGTGAGAGGTGCTGGGGGATGGTGAGAGGCGCTGGAGGATGGTGAGAGGCGCTGGAGGATGGTGAGAGGCGCTGGGGGATGGTGAGAGATGCTGGGGGATGGTGAGAGATGCTGGAGGATGGTGAGAGGCGCTGGGGGATGGTGAGAGATGCTGGGGGATGGTGAGAGGCACTGGGGGGATGGTGAGAGACGCTGGGGGATGGTGAGAGATGCTGGGGGAAGGTGAGAGGCGCTGGGGGATGGTGAGAGGCGCTGGGGGGATGGTGGAGAGACGCTGGGGGATGGTGAGAGATGCTGGGGGGATGGTGAGAGATGCTGGGGGATGGTGAGAGATGCTGGGGGGATGGTGAGAGATGCTGGGGGATGGTGAGGGATGCTGGGGGGATGGTGAGAGGCGCTGGGGGGATGGTGAGAGACGCTGGGGGATGGTGAGAGATGCTGGGGGATGGTGAGAGATGCTGGGGGATGGTGAGAGGCCATGGAGCATGGTGAGAGACGCTGGGGGATGGTGAGAGACGCTGGGGGATGGTGAGAGATGCTGGGGGGATGGTGAGAGGCGCTGGGGGATGGTGAGAGGCGCTGGGGGATGGTGAGAGGCGCTGGGGGATGGTGAGAGATGCTGGGGGATGGTGAGAGGCGCTGGGGGATGGTGAGAGATGCTGGGGGATGGTGAGAGGCGCTGGGGGATGGTGAGAGGCGCTGGGGGATGGTGAGAGGCGCTGGGGGATGGTGAGAGATGCTGGGGGATGGTGAGAGGCGCTGGGGGATGGTGAGAGACGCTGGGGGATGGTGAGAGACGCTGGGGGATGGTGAGAGGCCATGGAGCATGGTGAGAGACGCTGGGGGATGGTGAGAGATGCTGGGGGATGGTGAGGGATGCTGGGGGGATGGTGAGAGATGCTGGAGGATGGTGAGAGGCGCTGGGGGATGGTGAGAGGCCATGGAGCATGGTGAGAGGCGCTGGGGGATGGTGAGAGGCGCTGTAGGATGGTGAGAGACGCTGGGGGATGGTGAGCAGCACTGGGCTGGAGAAGGAAGCGCTGGGTCATCTGCTATGTGTGCAGGCAGTGTCTCAGAAGAGGCACCAGGTTAAGGGCCTGAGCCCTGCTTTCTAGTGCTGGCTTCACCACTTTCTCTTTTGGTGACCCTGGCATTTGAACTTGGCCTTGTGCTTGCTAAATAGGCGCTCTACTACTTGAGCCACACCACAGCCTGTTTTGGGGTCTCACATGTTTACTCAGGAATGACCTTGGACCAGGTCCTCCTCCTCTTGCTGCCTCTTTCCTGTGATTACAGGTGAGCATACCATACCTGGCTTGTTAAGTTGTAGGTCTTGGTAACTTTCTGTCTGGGCCTCGAAGTGAGATTTTTTTCCTATCTCTGCCTGCTGCAGAGCTGGGATTACAGAGGTGAGCTGCAGCACTGGGGCCAGCAACTGCACCCCTTACAGCATGTGCTTGCTTGCTGTCATCGGGCAGAGTGGTAGCCCCTCCCCACAGGACTCTAAGATGAAACGAGTTAAAATATATGAAGCACTTACTACCTGAGCGTGGCCAGCGATATAAAACATTAACTATTATGATTATAGCAGAACCTGGTGCATGCTGAATTTTTCATTCATTTGCTCCAGTTTGCATTGCCGCACAGATTCCCGCCCTGTTCCCGCATAATGAGCAGGGGCCGGAGGAGAGGACGGCAAGGCTATCCCTGCCTCCTCCTCCGGAGGCCTGCGTGTGCTGAGCGGACTTCTTCCTCCCCCTGTTGCACAGCTGCATTTAGCCCTCAGCAGCCAAAGCCCATCAACCCAGACCAGGTGCACAAGGCCAGTCTGAGGCCATCCTCGAGCCGTGGGACGGGAGCTGGGCTGGAAGTACGGCATCCGACATGGAGAAGCAGTGGAGGCAATGGAGGCAGGCAGATGCTTGCACGTGGCAGAGAGAGGGATTGGAAGCAGCAAGCGTGAGGAGAGGCGGAGGTCAGACTCAGCTTCTCGGCTTTTCAAAGGCGTAGACTGTCTATCTGAAATGTGCCCGTCTTAATTTTACTGAGTCTTAAGCTCAGCCGGATGGCACTAAAAGGGAAGATGAAGCAGGGCGTGGTGGCGGCTCACACCTGGAGTCCTAGCTACTCAGGATCGCCGTTCAAAGCCAGCCTGGGTAGGAAAGCCCGTGAGACTCTTACCTATAGTTAACCACCAAAAAGCCAGAAGTGGAGCTGTGGCTCAAGCCGAAGAGTGCCAGCCTTCAGTGAAAAGGTGAGGGATAATGCCAGACCCTGAGTTCAGTACTGACCCAGGACCAGCACACACAAAACAAGTAAATGAAACAGAAGGGGAGGTGGAAGTTGTTACTGGCCTGGGATGCAGGCAGGCTGGATCCAGAGAGCACGGAACCCTGAGCAGCGGGGAGCGTCAGGGCTGCCACATCCATCTGTCCGCTCGTTCCCAGGGTCCCTGCGGGTCTCTGCGCCCATCCCGCGGACAGAGTTGCCAGTGGCTTCGTGCTGGACTGGCAGGGAGGAGGAGCCAACCCGTGTGTGGCATTGTCATCTGGAGAGTGATCAGTAGGCAGAACTGTGGGTCTAAACCCGCAAAGTGGAATTAACTGCGAGCAAAAGCTAGAAGCTCTGCATTCACATTAAACAACAAGGAAAGGATCCGCTGCATAGCGAGGGTCGGCGCAGCGCCTCACGTCTGTAGCCTCTTTATTCAAGTGCCTGGGATGGGGAGGAGCGAGGCTCCAGGTCAGGCAAGGCCAAAAGAAAAAAGAAAAGTTGAGAGACTTCCTCTCAGCAGAAAACACTGGGCAGGGTGGCATGTGCCTGTTGCCCGAGTACAGAAACAGGAAGCAGAAACAGGAGGATCAAGGTCCAGAGCTGTGTGGGGACAGAGAGGATGAGGGAATGAGAGCTTGTCTGGAAGGTGCCGCTGTCTCCCGGTGACCTCTCCCCTGGGCATGTCTGACTCCCCCCCTGTCCACAGCTAGCCGCACGGCACACCCAACCACCCCGTCTCCTTGAGGCTTAACATCCCTGTCAGATTTCCCTTCTCTTCCTTCTCGAGTTAGAGTGCGTTTCCACATCAATAATGAAACCGTGTGTGCTGTGTCAGCCATTACTGCTGGCTTCCTGAGGCCTGGGCGATGCCTGCAGCCCCTCTGCCCCTCGTGCGGAGATGGGCCGGGTGGGTGCTCATGGTGTGTTTGTCAGAGGCCTGGAAGCTGGCGGTCCTTCTGTTTATCTACCTGTCTATCCCCAGAGAGGGAGGAAGACGGGAGGAGAGGGTCAGGCAGCTCCATTGGCTAGTCACTGCAGTACAAGCTGGCTGTCCTTCATCTGAAGACGCTCACACCTGCAGTGCCACAACCCACAGAGCACGGACAGTGCCTCGAGCTTCAAATCCCCTCCGGTCCCGGTGCAGGAAGCGATTAAATGATCGCAGACAATCACCTGCAGACTTGGTGCATACGCTCTGCGTGGAACACAAGCGAACTTCATGTGTAGACTTAAATCCCACCCCCATCAGAGCTACGACAATGTACATACTCAAAAATCTGAATGAAAAAACAACCCTTTAGGTCCTTCTGGGCCCAAGCATTTCAATTTCTGGCGTTTCCACCAGACTCTGAGAGGAGAGTTGTGCCCACACCAGGCTGGTGTGTGCAGGGGTGGGCTGGGGCTCTTCCGGAGGAGGAGTGGGAGAGGAGGCCCAGAGCAGGCTGCGCTCACCGGGCCCTCTGCGTTGGGGAGTTCGTTTGGGGAAGGCAGAGAGCACCAGCCACCTGCCGCAGAAATGCCTGAGACTGAAGCCAGCTGGAGCAGGGAGGCGCGGGTGGCCGGCTCCCCGGGCCAGAAGACGGAACACTAGGGGAGACAGGGCAACTCCGTGCTAGGATCAGGTGGCTTCCCGGGACAGGGTGGGGCCTGTCACCCAGCTTGGTCCTTCTGTTCCAAAGTGCTTTTGAGTATGAGGTGTGGAAAGCCACAGGACCGGCCTCAGCCCGCAGGCTGAGCTCCAAGCGTTCCGAATGGTCAAGGCTGTGCTGCGCACACTTACTGGTGGGTCGCAGAGGAGGGGCTGGGTCACCCCGAACCACACCCTGCGTGCTGTCCTCTTCCTTTCTCCTCTTTGCAAATGGACTCCCAGTCCAGTGCTCTTCGTAGCACATGCAGCTGCCCCTCATGACCATCTGCTTCAGGGAAGCCGGCCAGGGAGTTAATTAGAAGTATTTTAGGTTCAACACATCGTATTTGATCTGGAGCTTAATTCGAGCTGCCATCAGCAAAGTTATTATCATTACCAATGTAGTTAAAGTGGTTAAATATTTAAAGCCATGTCAGCGACTCCCAGACACACAGGGTCACCAAACACATAAGCAAAACGCCTCCGCTGGGGCCGGGTGGTGGATTTCTGCACTTGGCATGTGACCTGGACGGTGCACCGGGGCTCCTGCAGGGAGGGGACCTCAGCTGGCAGCCCTGTCTGGCTTGGCTGTCACAGGCCAAGGTTACTCAGCAGAGGCAGATGTAAAATAATTGCGTTCCAGTAGTGCTAGGGCTAGGACGTGGTCACAGGCACAGAAGTGACTGGGCGACAGTGGGCTGAGTGTGGATGGGTGCGATCAGAACAGAGTGTTTGCAAGGTTGGGCTTTCCCAGGGGAACTGAGCGCATATAGGCCAGGCATTGTGGCTCATGTCTATAATCCCAGCTACTAAGGAGGTAGAGATTGGGAGGACTGAGGTATGGGGCCCACCCTGGACAAAACCTCCAAATCGTATTTGAAAAATGAGTAAAAAGGTAACAGTGCTGGGCCATGTGGCTCAAATGGTAGAGCGCTTGCCTAGCAAACATGAGGCCCCGGGTTCAAACCCTGGTGCCATCAAAATAAGAGGTGTTCTCCCATGGCAGCCTTCAAGTCTGCAAGAGACCCCTCCATGCCTCTGAGGAGAGATCACCACGTGGGCTCACCAAGGAAGGGCCGGGCAGCTTGGACTTGGGAAAGTGAGGGATGCATCTAGGGACTGAGAAGGCAAGCCCCTGAGCTCAGGGTCTGAACCGTCCATCTGCTCTGTCTGGCAAAGGGAGAGGGAAAGCCAGGCCGTGTTTCACACCTGTGAGGTCATCGATAGAGCATCGTGGGTAGATGGTAAGCTTCGTGCACTGCATGCAAAATTGTGAATATTTGTCAGCATTTCGAAGAGGACTGTGACCTCCGAAATCACCTGTGCATGATTCGTCTGTGTATGAGGCCTTCCAGAACCTTCCGGCCCTCTTTCCAGCCTGCTCTTTCCTCCCATGCCATGTAGCTGGGCGTCAGCTATAAGATTCGCTGCATCTTCTTGAGCATGGTTTTCTGAACCCTTTGCCTCCTGCCCACCTGTGCATCTCATCCTCCGAGACCCAGCGCAAGTCTTTGTCCTCCTCTGGGCCAGTCTTGGACCTTGGGCAGATTTCATGGAGCGCTTACCACATGGTGTGTTCCAACCATTCCGGCATCTGTTTTTCCCACAAGTCAGGTCTTCTCGTGGCAGGACTGGGCTCTTCGTTTCTGAGTAAGTCTTCAGTTTGCTCTGAATGAACAGTTTCCACCGAGAGGGCCACCGCGGCGAGTTATCCACAGCAATGTTCTTTAATCCTGAACGACAGAAGAGTGGAAAGGTATACTATGTTCATAGACTGGAAAACGTAATTGCTCAGGTTTGTAATTGTGCAGGCTAGACAAGTACATGCACAGAGACCCAACTTCAAGCCTCAGCATCACAAAAGCAAAGACAAAACAAAGCAACACCAAAAGCAAGACACGTGAAAGAAGGCAGGGAGACCCATGTTTCATCCCACACTCAAACGTCAGTTGAAAATGTAAACTGAAGGCAATACAACTACAGAAGAAAACACAGAGGAACAGCTCTTGACATTGGTCTTGCCAGCGACTTTTTTGGATATGAAACTA